GCGACTCCCCGCGCCGGCAGTCGCGTGCTCCGGACGCGCACCGGTGTGGCGTGTGCGGCAAGAGCTTCGGCAAGAGCTCCACGCTGACGCGACACTTGCAGACCCACTCGGGCGAGAAGCCCTTCAAGTGCCCCGAGTGCGGCAAGGGCTTCCTGGAGAGCGCCACGCTGGTGCGCCACCAGCGCACGCACACGGGCGAGAAGCCCTACGCCTGCGGCGCCTGCGGCCGCCGCTTCAGCGAGAGCTCCACACTGCTGCGCCATCAGCGCAGCCACCAGGGCGAGCGGCCGCACGCCTGCGGCACGTGCGGCAAGGGCTTCGGGCAGCGCTCCGACCTGGTGGTGCACCAGCGCATCCACACGGGCGAGAGGCCCTTCCCGTGCCCGGACTGTGGCCGCTGCTTCAGCGACCGCTCTGACCTCACCAAGCACCGGCGCACGCACACCGGCGAGAAGCCGTACCACTGCGAGGTGTGCGGCCGGCGCTTCACGTGCGTGTCCAACCTCAATGTGCACCGGCGCAACCACGCCGGCCACAAGCCGCACAAGTGCCCTGAGTGTGGCAAGGCCTTCAGCGTGGGCTCCAAGCTGACGCTGCACCGCAAGACGCACCTGGGCGAGCGGCCGGCCCAGTGTGCGGAGTGTGGCAAGTGCTTCAGCCACAGCCGCTCACTGTCACAGCACCAGCGGGCGCACACACGGGCTCGCGCCGCCGCCGCCACCCAGGCCATGGCAGGCACTGCCCTGATCTATGCTGGCCAAGCTGAACAGGAAAAGCCGGGACTCTTTGTGTCTCAGTTGAGAGAGACTTGCTGAGAGGGTTCTCAGGAGTGGGCTAGACAAGCACTTACATGCTGCGACAGGGCGGGGGAGCAACTGGCAGATGGGGGTCTGTGGAAAGGCGATGTGGCCTGTCGCCTTTCTCCATCTCTGTTGCTGCGCCCCTACGCCTCCTCCCCTGGTTAGCTCTTTGCCTATTCTCAGCCCTTCCTTCGCCGGCTCTGGGTGTTGTGCCAGGAGAACCTCCCGGACCCCAAGTACTGGTGTGTCCGAGCGCTGCTTCTCTGCTCTCAGGCGTCTCCTGTTATCCACCAGGGTTCTGTCTTTTTTTGTCCCATCTCCTTTTTCCAGCCCCGAGTCTCTGCTACCTCTCCTTTCCGGGTACTCCTGATGTCCTGCTGCTTCAGGTAATGGTCATCACAGACGTGGCCAGAATCACATCCCACCCGCCCCGTGGCCTTCCTGCCTCTTCCTTCCAACTTTACTCTCAGTCTCTCTGCTGCTCTCTCCCTCAGCTTCTGAGAGATGGGGAGTTTGCAGGCAGAGAGATAGTGAGAGAGCTCCCCTCACTAAACGGTTATCTCCCCACCAGAAGCACCCAGAAGGGTACTTCACACCACGTGAAGGTGGGCAGAAGCTCTCAGCATGGCCCACGGGCCAGACCTGATGGTGTACAAATCAAGGTGCCTCTCAGGACATTAGCCCTGGGACCCGGGCCAAGAACACAGGGGTCTATAAAGCCTGGCACTGCCACATGGAGTATGAATATGTTTTATACCTATCAAGCTTGGAGCCATGGTGAAACAGCTCCACAGAGGTGACAGCGCAGGGTGGAAAATTCCCTGGAATTAGCCAGAGTATTTTTCTTTCTTTTTTTTTTTTGCTTGCAGGTGGTGAAATAAAGAGTTGTCTGGGTTCCAGATGCCAAGGGCTTCCCTTTGTCAAACTTGAGGCCCAGCAATCTTGCATGTGTGGCCCCCTCATTTTTGCACTGGAAGGCAAGACCCTTCAGGGGCTTATACATTTGGTTACAGGAGAGTACCAGCGGGGTCCATCACATGCCTGTATCCCCACCCCAGCACATCCCTCTGGAATGATCAAGCACTCTCCATACTATCGGCCTGCCTTGCTTGAGTGCAAGAGCAGGTGTAACACTCCACAGGAAAGGCGCTGCAAAGTGCCAGTGCAAACTGAGAAAGGAGGCCGGGTCCTCGGGGTGGGGGCAGCTGGGGGCCTGCACTTAGGATGCACTCAGGCACATTCTAGCCGAGCCTGCTAACAAAGGAATCAAGATTCCTGCACCTGAGGTGCCAAAAACACTTGCTTTGCCCACACAAGTTCATGTAAAATACTGGGTTTATTCTGTCCTTTAGGAAGACTAAAGTCACCTGGCTCCCCTAGAGCCCCGTCTTGCCCCTACCCTGCACTCCCCATCACCCTAGTTTCTAGGGACCAGGCATCTGGCTTTTTTTTTTAGCTGCTTTTCAGTCCCTGGGGCCTGACTCTGCAAATTCCAGGGAATGCTCTCTGCTAAGGGAGCAGCGTGGGAGCCTGAGGAGCCAGAGAGGGGCTGGACCCCTCCTCTGCCCCCAGGGATGCAGGGGCAGAGATGCTGGAACAGGACTCCAATGGCCCAGATGATTCTTGTGGAGCCAGGAGCAAGGCTGGGTGGCTCTTGCTGCGGTGAGCTGCCACACTGTCCGGCTTCTCGAAGCGCTTGCCGCAGAACTCACAGGGGAAGCGCAAGGTGGCCGCCGTCTCCGCATGCTTGCGCCGGTGCCAGTTCAGGGAGGCCTTCTGGCGGCAGGTGAACCCACAGATCTCACACCTGGGCCAGGGACAGCAGAGGGAAGGCAGGGGCCTCAGCGCATCTTGGCTTCCCTAGGGCTTCCTCCTGCTCCCAGCCTCCCAAGTGTCTTGCCAGCACCTCCCCATTCCCACCTATCCCCCCAACAACCCCCCCCCGCGCCCCGGCCCCACTCCAGGCTCCCCTCCCCACACTCACTGCAGGGGTTTCTCTCCAGTGTGGATGCGCCGATGGATGACCAGGTTGCTGCTGGTGCGGAAAGACCGGGCACAGAACTCGCAGATGTAGTCTCGGGTATCTGTGGGCAGATGGGGGAGACCCCAGCACCCATCCCCAGGCTGTGGGCCCTCCTTGGACCACCAAAGGAATACGGTCCCCATTCAGCCTGCATATCACACTTCTCCCAGCCCCCCAACAGTGCCCTGTGAACTGTCAGCAGCCCTGTGGGTGTCAAGAGCCAATCCCCTCTCCTTTTTCCCTGAACCTGCTCCCCCGCCAGCTCTAACAGCACCTGCCCATTGCCCATATAAAGCAGTTCTCACAGGCCTCCTACACCTCCAAGCCTCAGGGCCTGCAGCAGAGAAGCCATCCCGTAGACCCCTGACCCACCACTACACTGTACACCCTGCCATCCAACCACACAGGCACACCTTCGGCCTCCATCCCCATCACTCTCCTGTGCAGCTCAGGCTCCAGGCCCTCTCCGCAGCCACCACCACTGCTGTCAGTTTGTTTTCTACATGTCGGGCGCTCCACTCCCCTTCTCCCTGACCCTCACTGACCTGGTCTCCCCATCCCTTCTCAGCCACCACTCCCAGGTCAAGCCCCATTACTGCACCACCTTGAAATCACAATTTCAAGCATCCCAGTTCCAGCCAGGACCTCCTACCTTTTCCTGTTTCAGCCTGTCCCATGCTTCCAGGCTGCCAGTCCAGCGGCCCGCTGCCTTCCCACCATCCTCCTATTCCCCTCCTCGCCCAGCTTGTATCTTTGTAGCCTTCCTTGACTCACGCTAAAACCCAAACCAGGATAAATACAACCCCTGGCCTGCTCCAGGCTGGCACGTGTGTGCTGGTGGGCATGGAGCGGGATAGCGAGGTGGGGTGGGGATTGGGGGCCAGAAACACAATGTACAAATCACCCCCACCCCCCACCATCCTCCCCAGCTCTACTTTCAATCACAACCACAAGTCTCACGCCCCCCTATCCCACCCCCTGCAATGCCTCTGCATTTCCCTGGTCCGTTCCCCACTTTCTAGAGTCCACAAGGGCATTTGCCACAGGACTTCCTCTCTCCACCAGCCTCGCTCAGCAGTGACCTTGTTTATAAGCCACCAAGAAAAGAGAACCCAGGAGAGGATGCCCACGCCCTCTTCCCACCTAATCCACCAGCCAGCCTGCTTCTGTGCCTGTGTGCGGCTCCCCTGCGGCTGCCCTCCCGCTGTGCCCAGACACACCCCGCCTCACGGACTTGAGGTTGCCCGCCCCTCTGGCAGCAGCAAGCCTTTCCTCCCTGTGGGTTCATTCCCATCTCTGTGCCCCAAGCCCACAGCCCTCCAGCTTAGACCCACTTCTCTGCTTGTCTTCATAGCAAAGCTCCAAAGAGTGGTCCATGCCTGCTGTCTTCACTTCTTTAGCTCCTCTCTGCTTTGACCCCTCTCTGTTCTGCCTGTCATCTCCCTTGGCACATACCATTTGGTCATCTGGTCAAGGATGGCTTCCCCCCAGCCTTTCTGGGGGCCTGTCCGCATCCTCCTCTTACGCAGCTCTGAGGCAATGGCGCAGCTCAGCCCTCCCTCCTCCTGGAGTACTTTCTCCACTTGGCTCCTTCGTCTGCCTCACTGGCCCCTCTGCAGATGCCCTTCCCACCTGCCCCACTCAGACGTCTTCTCTGCCCACGTTCACTCCCTCCCTGTAGGTGCCATCTGCCCACGGCTCCAAATACCACCCATGTGCTCATGATAAACATATCTTCTTCTTTCGTCCAACATCTCCTCTGAACTCCAGATTCATATTTTCTGGGATACCTAATCAGCATGTTCCCAAAAAACATCCCTTCCCTGAAACCTGCTTCTCCCACATTTTCAGGAAATCCCATCACCAGTCCTCCAAGTCACCCCCGACTCCCCGCTGCCAGTCCTACCCGTGGACAATCTGTCCTTCCTACAGCAGTCCTGGTTCCCTCTTCACTCTCCTGTCAGCCTCCAGCCACTTCCCACCAGCTTGGCTCCATGCGTCCAGGTTGGCATCGTTACGCACTGCACATTTCCTGTAATGTTCCCTATCCTCCACATGACAGCCACAATGCTCCTTTTTAAAGTCAGTGTCCTTCTGCTGTTCAAGACCCTGAGATGGCACCAAACTCATCTGGCCAGGAGCCAAGCCATCCTGATGGTGGTCTTAGAGGCCCCCACTACCTATCTGACCTCTCTCCCTTCCTTTCTAACCTCCTGGCCTCCTCGCCACTCCTGGAACATGACACACAGATAGATACCAGTTTAGGGGCCCTCACACGCTGCCAGTAAATGTGGCTAAGCCTCCATTCCTCCCTCCCTTCACTTAGGTCTTTGCTCAAAGCACCTTCCATTTCTCCAAAACCAGCTCCTCCCTCTTGCTCTCCTTCCTTCCCCTGCTTTCACATCCCTTCGGAGCGCGGTATCACTAGAGTGGACACCTTATAAAATGAGGGCTTTATTCACTGCTGTATCCCAGCATCTAGAACAGTTTAAAGCAGGCGGGTGCTCAACACAGGGAATGCAAGATGGGTGTTTAGTTCAGCGAGAGTTACCCCACAGAGAGGTGTGGCAAGACCTGGAGATAGGAGGTGATGGGCCCCACTGGGGGGTGAAGGGGCGCACAGAGGGAGGTGATGGGACCCACAGTGGGGAGGTGAGGAGGCATTTCCACCACTCACCACTGTGCAGCTTCACATGCTCCTTTAGGTGTTTCTTAAAGTTGAAGGACTTCCCGCAGGCTGGCTCTGGGCAGGAGAAGGACTTTTGGTGGATGTGCTGGTACTTCTTGTGGTGCTAGGGAAGGAAGCAAGGGACACCACCAGAGCTGACCCAGCAGGCGGGGCTCCTCTGTCCTCTCCCCAGGCAGTTCTCCTTGGTCACCACCATGAACATGAGCACCCCGATCCCATTCCTTCCTGACCCCAAACTCTGCCCTCACCCTATCCTGCCCTCAACTTCCATTATCTCATCACCTTGTCACAATGGCACCTTGC